ATTATAAGGCATACAACACAATGAATGGTACTGCAGTTTCTAGTAAGTGCCACAGCAGCCCAGGTGGGAGGGGTGGCCGAGGACATATTGAATATCTAGATGAATCTCTTCTCTTTTACAATGTGGTCAAAGTACCTAAGCTGCACTTAAAACTACACTGTGGGAACAAGTGACTCTAATCTTTACTCAGTCTCATCCACCCTCTAAGACGTTTTGTCAGGTTCATCAGTCCCCCTGGCTTGTTGATAAATGTTGAGATTGGCTTTAATGGCAGTGTGTGGGTGAAACCAGATAATGTGAAAATGCTAATTAAAAAAATAAACAATGTGAGCAAAACAGAGAAACTGCTAGAGCCACCAAGTCACTGAGGCACCTGAAAAAGTGCCAGCGTGCTGCCTCCTGTGTTTACGTCCTCCACAGCATTTCCTATGGGCCCTCTGCTCTCCGGGTGAAGTTCTCCTAGCATTTCCCATCCCTGAATGAAACATCCTGGAAAAGGAGCTCCATCCCATTTTCCTCCTTCCTGTTAACTAGACTTCATCTGAAAAATAAATTCATCTGTTCCTACCAAGGATATTTTAAATCGAGCAGGTTCAAATGGACCCAAAGTTGCCTTGCAAAAAAACAAATTGTATAAAAAGCATGTGTTTGTTTAAAATCTTTCACATAAGGGCTGATTGCCAAAAAGGAGAGAAATCAGGGACCAAAGTGAATACTTTTGGGCCAGTACTTTAACAAAACATTTATTCTGAAAAGTGTAGACTATTATGAGAAAAGTCTAGACAATGATAATGACATTTACTAAGTGTTGCAAAAAGAGAGAGAAAGAAACAGGGAGAGGGAGAGGAGGAAGGAAGGGAGGAAGGAGGAACATAGGAAGGAAAGGCAGGGAGAGGAAAAGGAGAGAGGCAAAGGAGAGAGGGAGGGAGGAAGGAAAAACGTCAATACAGTGCATGCCACGAGCCATGTACTTTCAGCCAGTTTGTACAAAATATGCACCGGGTTAAATCTAGGTTGGCAGCTAAAGATGTCGTATCACAATACATTCAAATACCTTCAGAATTTGTGAGCTTCATGGCAGAATCTTAGAGGGAGAAGGAAATTAACCAAAGTTGTTATTGTCGTTTATAGTGAGTCAGATGTTAGAGACCAGCACAAATCTCTGAAAATAGACTGGATTTGCTTAAAAGCAAATGGTTTTTGTTAGAGGTTTATTTTTCTCGTGTCAAAAATATGAAATTACGCTGTAAAAGGAAGTGGTAAAACCTACATCACTGAAAGCCTTAGGGATGTGTCCACGTGTTCCCACATGCTCAACAGTTATTGAAAGTGTGAGTCTCATTTTACCTGTTAATCCAATACTTGGAAGTATTCAACAAGGAGCTTAGCCTTCTCCTCAGTTCTGATTTCTGAGCAATTGCAGAGAACACGTTCTACTGCCAAAAAAACTCAAATGTTTACAAGTCTGGAATTTGTTTTATGACCAATAGTGTTTTACATGGCCCATCCTTAGTGAGAATGAAGCGCCAATTTCTGATTAATATACATTGTCTGCCTTATGGTTTCTCTGCAAAGAATTCAGGCAGTATCTAATGAATTTATAGATTTCATCTATAAACATTTTTTGAGAGATTCTGTGTTATGTGATAATAATAATGAAAACAGGGTTTTCTAGATGAGCTATATAAATAATGAGAGGCACTCTGAGAATTGAGAGAAAAGCAACTTGGGCCTGAATGTTTCCAGATAACTGGTTCAATTCTGTCATTTTCCTTCTGCTCTAATCTCACGCAGTTTTAAATCTGGGCACCTGAAGGGAAGAGGGGGAGAAAGATGCACATTTTCATTGCAGCATAAATGATCTCAAAATAGAAGTTGATTTTTAATTTTTAATGGTGCTTTTTTAAAAAGTTTAAATATCTTAGAATTTTAAAAATATTTATAAAATATGATATTACTTCTAAGAAGAGCAAGAACGTTTTCTCTTTTTATTAAGCCACTGTTAACATTGTATATATGCACACATATAAATGTATGCATGTATGCACATATGTTTAAGGCAGTATCAGGGAAGAGTTGATGTCCTCTAAATTTGTATACAGGCAGGATTTATTGACTTCAGGGGTCACAGTTGTCCCTTACTTGCTGATTTCCTGGGTCCAGGATTTTAGGACTACATGGAGCAAAGGATCATTTTACCTGAAGTGATGGAGGCGCCACTAAGACAGGGCTGATCTGCTCTTACATGACTTTTCTGCTGACTTGAACGGGAACTTCAAGATCTATTGAGAGATATCAATGGTATTAGTAATAGTAAAAGGCATTAATTATGCTTTACATGGATGTAGTACTCAGAATTTCTGCGGGCTTGCATTTATGTTACCTAATGTCTGAATTCAAGTGGCAGTAGTATGCTTTGAAGTGTCTACATAGCTGCAAGACTAAAACAAAAAGAAAAAAAAATGATCGCCAATTGTCTTGAATCAAACAACCATCTTAACTGAATTTTAGCCTTCTTCTGGTGTTATGAAGCACTGGTGAATGGATCGTGCTTTTTGCATATCGTTTCCTTAAGAGATAAAATAAAGATGGTCATTTCTGCTTATCTGGGGGGGCTTTGTCTTGGAAGCATGCTATAAAAATAGGCCCTAACCTCTTGGACAATCTTCCCAAATGGATGTACTGTGCACACTGTTGATTCAGGCTGAAGCATTCACTCAGCTTGGTGATTATCTGGCATTATCTCGGTGGATAATGATTTTAATACTTCATAACACTCATTATGGCATTAGTGGTTTCATATTAATAAGATATTAGTTTTGCTATTCAGGGAATCTAATACACAAAAGTAAAAGAAACGAAAATCAACCTTAAAGTCTTTGTTACCCAACAGGGTTTTTGTTTGTTTGTTAATATCAAAATGCCTTTCCTTCTTGAAACAATGATTTGAGCTTTCTATGATCCTATCTCACTATTCTTAGTGTTAATATGTCTTGTTCTTTGACAATTTGACCCTTTTGACCGCCGTACTTTGCATTCAGCTGTAGTTGATCCAGGGAAAAATGGTAGATTATCTTATTTTCACTTCTTACTTAGATTTTTTTATGTAAAATGGCTTGATCTTAATGTTTATCTTTCATTCTGTGCAGAATCATTATAAAATGTTCTGTAGATCAAAAAGCAAAATTTTAGTGATAATATCATTATCTTAGGGACCCAATGGCTTTCAAAGGTTATGAATTAACAGAAAGTCCTTTAATATAATATCACCCGTCTTGTTCTCATGATGAAGCATGGAAATTGACACAGGAGAGTGCCGTGTCAGGGTTTATAAAAGGTCTGGTAATGTGGATGAGGACTTTTACTATAAAGACTTGGGAAAATTGCCTGAGGAGAAGTCTTCTTTTAAAACTATAATGTTTTCCAAGGATTTTTAGACTTTTGAATTTAATCCCAAATCAAGAAAATGTGAAATTTGTGTAAAATCTTGGAGGAAAAAAATCAATGTTTGTAGCTCAAGTAAGAGAGTAGCTCTAATAATTAGGTTAGAATGTCTCATACACAGTTATAAATAAAAACAGGACTGATTCATTCATTTAACAAATATCTGTTGAAGGCTTTCTATGAGTGTAGTACTGGGCTAAAAGTTAGGGATAAGGATACAGTTATGAATAAAACACAGTTCCTGCCCTGAGGAAATGTATATTCATATGGTTCCTTGTCTGATATCGCAGGTATAGACCTAATAATTCAGTGTAAACGATCATTACAGATTCTAAGTCTTTTTCATTCAGGATACACCATCATCCCACAATGAGCACAAAATAAAGAATTTGGACGGCAGAAAGTCTGACATAGAAAACAGCACTGTTAATCACGCCTTCAAATTATGAAGACGTGAAAGATATGCTAGATCCATTCTTTCTCATAAAATTGGAAAATGAAGTAGGGATGCTTCTTGCAAAATTTTTGGAAATGTGTTCAAATACTTTATGGTTCATAAAACCAATTTTAGTTATTTTAATTTCCCCCTCCAATTTCTTATTTTACCCATTTCTCCCAACAACTATGGAAAAATACAGTCTCAGGGAAATTTGATTCTGTTTCAAGTGACTCATGATAGAGCCTAAGGGGCCTTATAAAAAGGATTTACTTTTTCAATGCATTTTTTTGGCAACAGAACCAAAAGCTTTGAAAACGCAGAGTGAGCAAAAAATTCAAAACTATGTGAGTTGAAGAGAATGTCACCAACTCAGAAATTATGGTTTTCAATTTCTTGCATTTGGGGAAATTCTGATTTTTAGGAGACTTTCAATGTGTATAAAGATAAAACCATTGTTGATGGTGGTGTCCTTACTGGTCTTCAACTCTGTGGAAAGCAATGGCTTAAAATTTAAAGTTTAAATGTGGGACCTGTGGAAATGAGGGATGGGGTTCAGAAGAATCTGGTAAGAACCCATGTCATGGAAGCTTTAAAACAGGAGTGAGGGTTCTAAATGTATGAGATAGCTCTTAATATTATATTAAATGCACTTTAGAGATCACATTGTAGCACTAAATAAAGTGGATATTAAATGTTTTCTGTAGCACTTTTGCTGGTTCTCTCAGTCTAGTCACTGAAGACATTATAAAGATCATACTGATTCAAGAGCGAATGAGAGCATTTATATACCCCAAGGTGAGCCCCAGAATGAATACAATTCACTTCTTTTGCAAGTTTAAAGTTACATATATCAGAGGTTGACTTCTGGACCTTTTGCCACTAGACAGAAGTGATCTTTGAGATGAACTGATGCCGCTCAGTACTTCAAAGAATACTGGACAGTTTCTCAGCATCCTCGAACAAAGCCAGCCTAGTAACAGCAACAAAAGTGCGCCATGTTCTCCGGTATCTAGTGGACCAAACAACAAGATTTGACAATTCTATATGGAGTCTTGGAGACCACAACTTGGCTTCATTTCTATTTGTAACTTAGCCTCTAACTTTATTTTTTCCCCAGATTTTAATGTGAATCTGCTGGCAGAGAAGAGATGCATATGTATTTGAACAATATTAACTCTTTTAGTGATCGCAAAACTTCTGCGCACGCGTACGCCCACATGCTAAGGCCTCACAATTTCTGCCACCTGGAAGTCTCTCAAAGTGTCTCAAAGTAAATGGTGAGTTTAAACAATAGCACCCTTTTACTACAGATGTGACAAAAACTATCTTTGCAAATATTATAACAGGTTCTCATCTACGGCAATTCAAAAATTTTCTGTATATTGCAGGATGACGTAATAGTATGTGTTAAGACTCTGTTAGTGCTAATTAATCCCTGTGCCTAAAATTATCAGACCAGAGCCTCAGAATTAAATATGTAGAGATTCATATAGTTTTCAATTTTTGGAAGAAGCAAGAACATCCTAGGGCAATTTGGATGACACATGTGAACAAATATTCTCTTGTTTCCTTGTAGTTCTTTTTCAAATAAGTCTTCCATGTTAGGTCTGATAAACGTATGTAAGTGAGCTCTGAAATCTAAAAATTAGATTGCCCTTTGCTATTGGAAATCAGTGACGATAATGTGGGAATTATGCCACAAGAAGGTATCGTTCCAATGAGCAACCTCGGCCGCCCAATTCTGATCTAGTTGCAACCTGAGCTCAATAGCTTGGAAAATAGCAAACCAGTAATTGTGTGAATCCAATCAGGGAACAAAATCACAGAATATTTCAGTAAGTAAGAAAATGGAGTTGTAAATATCAGCCTTGTTTATTTCCCATTACCACAGCTGGAGGCAAGGAAAGAACACGGTTTAGTATAATACAGTCAGGTAGGAATTATCACATACAATGAGGCTGAAAATTCTAGAGGAATATTGGAAAAAGCAAGCACAGCACCTTCACAAAACATACTTGGGTGTGTCTACCCTGTCCCATTGCCCCATTTCAAAATCGCAACTGGTGTAAGAGAAAATTATTTTGAAGTTTATAGCAGTAACAAACCTGCCCCTTTTTGCCAAGAGTAAATGATTAGAACATTTCTGTGAGCCAGTATCATTTTTTAAAGAAGGATACCTTTTTCACACTATGTCCTCAATGATGATTTTTTCAGAACACTCTAATGGCTGGGTTGTTATTAACAAACAGTGATAGCTGACGCTCAGAGGAGTACTTTTATATTACTTCGCAAGTATGTTGGGATATTTTTGTTACACTAATTTGTGTAACAGCCCATTATGTATTCGCCATTCACAAATGCTGACGTGAGATGGCCTGCATCGGCCAGTATTGGCAGCTAGACTTTGTCCATAGGAGAGATATCAATGAGTGTCCCCTCTGTGATTGCAGCACTTAAGGCCTCTCAACATACACACTTTCCCACAAACCTCCCTAAAAAGCTTGTTTCTCATACCCTTTGTCTCTCTTATTTCTCCTACTGAAATGAATCTGTCATTTCCTTTGTGACTCTCACAACATTGACATCTTATACAAAAAAAGCCTGACTTCCATCTTCCTATAAATAATGGCAATTAGAAGCCAGTTCCCTAGATGCTTTAAAATCTTAGTCAGGCACCAAGTGTTAATCTTTTACTAAAAATAATGCAGTAAGGATAACAGTAGGAGGAATAATGGGGACATGTAAAGATGACGGTAGGACATTTGATATAGAGACTCCAAATTCCCCTTATAAAAAGCTTAGCAAAGAGTTCCACAAACTTTCTTCACATATACCAGAGTTCCTGGCATCATCTATTCATTGTAGGAAAGACTAGAAACCTCGAGCCAGCCCTGATGGTCTAGTGGTTAAATTTTGGCACTCTCACCACTTCGGTGGCCCAGGTTTGGTTCCTGGGCACGGAACCACACCACTCATCTGTCAGTAGCCATGCTGTGATGGCAGTTCACATAAAAGAACTAGGACTTACAACTAGAATATATAACTATGCACTGGGGCTTTGGGGAGGAAGATTCACAACAGATGTTAGCTCAGGGCAAATCTTCCCCAGCAAAAAAAAAAAAACCCTCTGCTATTACAACCTCATTTGAAAAAAAAGACTGGAAACCTGAAAAAAGAGTGATAATTTCCAAGGGGTAGTTTGTTCATGGTTTGATTACAGCCTTCTTATTCCAGAGGATATAAATTGGCTCACAAAATTACATGAAAGGCAGAAAGTTAAATTTAGTGAGAAGGCATAAAATAAAAAAAAAAAAGATATAGACATATCAAAAATACAAAAGGCCAAGATAAAAAATATGCTCCAAGTAGATCTCTATACATGCTAGGAGTCAGATGTATTAGTCAAGGTTCTCCAGAGAAATAGAACTGATAAGTTGTGTGTGATGTGCAGGGTGGGCCAGCACCTAGGGAAGATCTGATGTTGCAGTTCAGGTCCAACAGGCTTCCTTCATTTTGTCCCGTCTCTGTTCCCTTTAGTACAAGCTGGCAGTGTTTCTTCTGGTATAGCCCATCTCTGTTCCTGGCTTCTGCTGAGATGGCTCATTGGATCTCTATTCACACTCTTAGTCTCTTTATGGAGTAACTGTCCAGTAACACCCTTGGTCTTCTCTCCAAAACACCGTTCTCAGTTTTTTGCAATATGGATAGGCTAATTTTCCAAATCTTCAAGTTCTGCTTCTGTCTTGCTTAATAATTGTCTCAATCCATCTCTCTCCTTTTGAATTTTACTCTAAGCCGTGTGGAGGACCCAGGTCACACCTTCGCTATTTTGCTTAGAAATCTCCTCAGCTAGATATTCAAGTTGGTCACTCAGAAATCCTACCATCCACAACGCACTATACCACAATTCAGCCAAATTCTTTGCCGTTTTACAACAAGAATCAGCTTTCCTCCAGTGTCCTCTATGTTCCTCATTTCCATCGGAGACCTCCCCACAATCACCTTTAACATCCGTATGTCTGTCGACAATCTCTTCAGGGTAATCTTGGCTTTTTCTAACATGCACCTCAAAACTCCTCCAGCTTCTCTCCATTATCCAGTTCCAAAGCCACTTCCACATTCTTGGGTATTTGTTACAGCAGTGCCCCACTTCTTGGAGCCAAAATTTGTATTAATATGCTAGAGCTGCCATAACAAAATACCACAGACTGGGTGGCTTAAACGACACAAGTTTGTTCTCTTAACACTTGTAGAGGCTGGAAGTCCAACATCAAGGTGCCAGTAATGTTGGTTTCCTCTGAGGCTCTCTCCATGGCTTGCAGAGAGCCCTTTGCCCACTCTTGCCATGGTCTGTGGTCTATTCTCTGTGTATGTGCATCCTTGGTGTCTCTCAATCTGTCCTAATCTCCTCTTGTAAGGACATCAGTCAGGTTGAATTGGGGCCAACCCTAATGGCCTTATTTTAACTTAATTACCTCTTTAGCAGCCATATCTCCAAATATAGTTACAGTCTGAGGTACTGGGGGTTAGGCTTCAACATATGAATTTTGGGGAAACACAATTCAGTCCATAACGTGGTGGTTGGGAGAAAATTTGGTCTACACTTTCTTGCCACTAGAATGAATAGTAAAAGCTGATCAATTGCACAGTTCGTGTGTCCATGAGACAAAAACAGAACAGTTCCTAAGGAGAGCACAACGCTTCCTGATTTTAAGACTTGGCGGTCTCTAAGTCTTGTGAACAAGCCATCTGAAGGGCTGCCGCAGTGGACAGAAGATAGCAGCAAACTGGGGTAATATTCCTGAGGGTATTTGTTTGCAGCAAACTCTTCAAAAATCACTGTGGTGTCTGGGTATGTTCAGGAACTGAGCAGAGAAAAGTGGAATTTTAATTAGATGCAGATGTGTTAATATTCTAGCTGATGTCCTCTGAGAAGTAATAATGGGTTAGAGAGCTAGGCAAAGAATTGAGTCTCTGTGAGAAAGGGAGACAGAGGAGACCTCCCCAGGGGAGCAGAAGCTCTCCTGCTAGGACAGGGGCGAGATTTCAAAGATAGGGGCTTTTCAAGGATGAATGGGAACCTCGAAGGTGCCGATTGAGACCAGAGGTCCAGCTTAAAGGGCTAAGTAAGATGCCCACCAGGGAAATTTCTGCAGATGGAGTCTGGGGCCAACAGTTGAGATGGTGGGTCAGGAGACTGGAGGACAAGTAAGTGTGGCCTGAAGTTGAAGGTAAGGTCCTTTAGGTCAGAAAAAAGTACACTTTTTTTCCTCCCAGGGAAATGGTGTGTGTGTGTGTGTGTGTGTGTGTGAGAGAGAGAAAGAGACAGAGACAGAGACAGACGGAAAGAGAGAGAAGGAGAAAGGACAGGGGGAGAGGGAGAGAAAGGAGGGAGGAGGAGAGAGAGAGAGAGAGAGACTGACTGATCAGTTGGGTCTGGGATCATCCTTCAAATAGCAGAGTCCAGACTATTGGAAGGCCGGTGACTGGCAGATTGATTAACACTTTGATTTGGAATTCCTAAACAAAACCATAGAATCCATCCTAACGGTACATTAGGTTTAGCAAATTTTAGCATGCAAACTGCTCATTAGCTCGTTTGAGTCTCACCAAAGTGTTTTGAGGTCTGCTGGGGAGAGAGTATTCTCTTCGATTCACATTTGAGGAGACCGAGGCTCAGAGGGGTTAAATGACTTGCTCAAGATCCTGCAGTTGATGGTGGAAGGGCAGACTAGATCTTCCAAAGCCGTACCCACTGCTGCCTCTGCTGTGCTCTTGAATGGATTGTTGGACGTATTGTGACATATCATAGCAGCGTGCTAGAGAGAGAGTGCATGTGGCTTTTGGAAGAGAACTAACTCTTTTTACCATCTATTCTGCCCAACCTTTTACCGTATGTTCTTTTTTGATACTTGATGGCTTCTGAAAATAACCCAAAGTGAGTGGCAGTTGGAGAATGGCTTGAGGGTGACTGTCTGAGGAGGCCTTGCTTTGTCACAATGACCACACTAGAAAATAAATGAAACTCATCAAATGAATTTTTTTTTTTGGCCTGAAGAAAGGCAGAAGTAAGGAGAAGCTGATTCAACTCTCTAATAGTGGTTTACAGTAGATATATGTAAGAGTAAATTCCCCTCTTGCCCTAACAATAACAATAAAGTAGAAATGAATAGCCTTAGGGATATTTTAAATTCAGTGTTCTCTTTTCAAATGGAACTCTTCTTTTCTCAGGGCCCAAGGCTCAGCCCATCATGACGAAAGTCCAATGTCAAGCAAT